TCCAACGCCGGTTTCAGAAGTTAAAAATTTGCAAAATTCGCTGAAATTCAGCTATTTTTGTACGATGCATTTTTTAGGCTTAAAATTCAATAATTCTGAGCAAGCTCTATTTATTAAAAAACCTGCGAAGCAGCAAATATGAAAAACTTGTTTTAGATGTCGGCTTTGTCTTTTTTTTTAATTTTAAAAAATTTTAGAAAAATTGGGGCCTTCTATGACCCTTTTTTAGAGGCCCAAAGTTGGCCATTTGAGCGTTTTTTCGAAATTCATGAAAAATCGCAAATATTCTAATAATTCCTAGTTTAGAGAAGAATGATTCAAAAGTAAGAGTGACCAAGAGCTTTTTTGATGTAAGCTGTCCAAATTTTTAGAAAATTCATTCCAAAGTGATTGGAGCAACCTGTGATGTTATTAAACGGAAACAACTTGAAAAAAACAAATAACAAGAAATGTAATCGAGTTCGAACCATACTTTTTTTCCAAAACTATGTGAAAAGCTTCCTAAAGATATCAACTACTGCCTGATATAGTTTTGTCATGAGTCATTAAGACAACAACATGTGTCGAAAAACTTGCAAAAAAGGTCGAGGCATTACTTCACGGGAATGGAGGGTTTGGCTTTATGCGCTTCATGATTGCTCGTATGGAGTGGCGTCTTCTAGCTGCATCGTCCGGTCATCCCCTTCCATTCGTTCCTTCGTCTCTCAATCTTATCAAAACTGAGTGGACAAATGAATCAACTGCGAGCCAGTTCGGCTCGCTCGAGAGCATGAGCCGGACGGTGTTTTCCGGCGGCATTCTCTCCTCGTGGAGGAGAGCTTGTAATCCTGTGGAGGAACGACAAATGTAGATCTCGAGATGGACTGTATAAAGCATACCAGAAGATACGATGCGCAGCTCTGTTGCAGCACTATAGATTGTTGCGTCGAGACATTAATACGTTGTAGTATTTCTGCAACACTCTCTTTCTCCTCATACCAGCTCTTACCGCTGTGTTTAACTTGTCCATCTCAACTTGTCAATATCCATCACTATGGAAAAAATCTATTATCAGGCCTCTTAGTAAGGTGCACACGCCCCAATCACCATCTCAGACTCGGCCGATCGCTAACCTGGCGCGTCTTGCTAAGGTTTTTGACAAGTTGCTAACGGCTCAGATAACTGTACACCTCGAGACGTACAATATGCTTTCACTCAGGCAATCAGGCTTTCGGAAGAATTTTAGTACACAAACTGCTTTGATCAAGATCACGGAGGATATTAGGCAAGGTGTAAAGAATGGACTGCTCTCGCCTTACTGCACTCCTATCTGTCGAATAGCTCGCAGGCTGTGATGGATGATGCTGGTAGTCGGACGGACTTCATGGACTATACATCTGGTGTCCCACAGGGCTCAACGCCCGCTCCCTTACTATTGGCAGTATACATTAGGGTGGGCCGTTTTTAGATTTTTTTCTAAAATCGATTTGTAATATTGATTTTTTGTTAGTTTTTTGTATAAAATGTAAGCTCGTTCAAGGCAAACGTGTACAAATAATTCTTTCTGGCTCCTCAACGTCGATTAATATTTTTTTCGCTGTTTTTTGCTCAAATTCGCCCCTTTTTCACTTTCTTACGCGCCAAAAATGGAAATATGATGTTTTGCGATTCTTAACTCCGCGATTCATTAACTAATAGGCTAATAAACATGTTTCCACGATCATCGGAGCTTAAAATAAAGATATGTAACAACGTAATGCGTATAAAGCCGGATTTTTGGCTGTTTTTTGCCCATTCTACCCGATTTTCGACTACATGGTCAAAGTCGATTTTTAAGTTCAGTACAAACAAACAAGAAAAATGTCTACTGAGATGATTTTTAAAGCAGGAAAGGCAGATGTATAGTCTCTTTTGAGTAAAATTCGACCAGGTCTAGTTGCTTGGCCACCACTGTGACTGCAATGTCGTCCGCAAACCCGATGATTTTTGTGGACTCCGGTAGCTTGAGTCTCAGGATCTTGTCGTACATGACGTTCCGAAGAATGGGGCCTAGTACAAATCCCTGTGGCTGGCCAGCCGTCACATCGTAAGACTTTGCTCCATTATCCATGGTGAACTTCAACACTCTGTCGTGGAAGTAGTTAATCACCATCTGCAACAGATAAGCTGGGACCTCCATTTGGCTCAGGACGATGAGAATTTCATTCCACCGCGACGAGTTGAAGGCGTTCCTCACGTCTATTTTATATTACTTAAATGTGACATATCAATCTCGGGCATGTCTTAGTGTGCTAATAAAAACCGGCTCGCTCATCAACCGCATCAGGAACAGAAACTGCGAATACAGCGTTGGTCGCTCATTTTATTTAATCTGTGGCACGTGATTCAATCTTGTTGTTCACATGCAGGCTTGCGACAGAAACGTGTGACACTGCAGACCAAGGCAAGGTATTTTCAACCCCTATGCTCCCTCCACCTCTATACACGCTGTGGCCTGCAGCGCTCACCAGAGCCAAATTATTACACTATACACGCCCGTTACTTCAAAATTCTTCTGTCCACATGCATGTTACATCGACACCACCACTAATTTTGATTCAAAATCTCACAGAGTTAACAAACTTAAAAGCAATGAGGTCTCATCAGTCATCGTTAGGCAAAATATCCTTGTGACATACTAAGAATGCTTGAGCAACTCACTAATTGGATCGCACTACTTTGAATTAGAAGCAGTATTTTCCAGTACAAACCTTTACACTTTTTCGGAACCTTAGCCTTTCGTGCCTCTCATGCCTATAATGCACGATCAGGACTCAGAAATGATTCGGAGACTTTCAATTTAATAAATATATTAATGAATTATTATTATTAAAGATAACAAAAATAATACAAGATCTGGGCACTACCGTGCAATGTTCGGCACACGGACCGTTTTCTTTGAAAGTTAAATAGTACATTAGTCATTCGATATATTTGTGCATTCTTGATATTTCCTTCATCGCACTTTAATTTCATTCATTCATACTTTTACACGCCGGTCGCGACTCGTTCAGGGTGTGAGTCCGTTCGACGCGTTTCGCAATAGAAGGGTCAAAATAATACTTTTTTTAAAAAACCGTGGGCACGTATGTCACCGATCTTAACGCACTTTTGGTATGTTATAGTACATGGTAAAAAGGTCCCAAAACCAAAATTTTATACCCTCTCCCCCCTAGCACCTACCCCCCACTTCCGGTACAAATGCAATTTTGATCTATATTTATTTCGAAGGCTTGAAGTAATAAAAAAATCTGAAAAAATTTATAAAAACATTTTTTAACAATCCAAACAACCTTGAATTTTTTCAGATTTTTTAAGTGCTTCAGGCCTTTAGATGAAATCATTAAAAATTCTGAAAATCGAGACACGGCGATATGAGCTGATATAGAACTCGAACATTTTTTTAGTTTTTTATCGTATTGAAAAACATAACCTCAATTTTTTTTAAATTTTTTCAGATTACCTAACACACTTATCTAAGCCAAAAACCGCATTTTTTAACGAAAATTATTTTTTCAGGACGATGCGAAGCCTCGAAAAATTTGGAAAAATTATTTTTTTGTTTTTTTCAAATTTTACGAAGATAAAAGTACAAGTTTTCCCTACGAAAGCAACTGTAAAACTGATCATTTAACTTGCTCAAAATAAGCTTTTAGTACATAATTCTGTGTTATTGAGTTTGCGTACGAGTATTTAGCTACGAGTGTAAACATGCAATTTCTCGTTATAAACCTCAATTTTTCCAAAATTTTTTCTAATTTTTGCTCGTTATAACCGACTTCTCGTTATATTAAACTCGTTATATCGATCAAATTTCCTATACTTTATGCATTGGAACCAACCAAATGTCCAAAATCTTCTCGTAATAGCCGGTCTCTCGCTATATCCGAACTCGTTACGGCCTCCACTGTATATCTATTTTCCATCCCTTTTCGATGACACTTCATAACGAAGAGGGTGTGGTTATCAAGCTTTGCATAATTTTTTCAAGAAAAGTCCATATCTTGACCAAAATGCGACCCACCGGGTTAAAAAATATGCACCGGGGCTTGAGCCACGGAAATTAGAAAAATACGCAAAAATACGTTAAAAATGGCTATTTTTCAATCTGAGAGGGGCTCAACTTTGATACACGATTAACATACTCCGATGTCACATTTATCCCAAAATTTTTTTTAGAAAAATTGGGGATTTCTATGATATTTTTTCAGAGGCTCAAATTTGGTAATTTATTAATAATCCTAGTTTTTAAACAATTTTAACAATGAACTTTTTGTTGCAAATTGTCCAAATTTAAAAAAATAAGTTATTCTAAAGTAATTAGAGCAAAGTAATTAGAGCGTGCTCGATATGTACAGAACAAAACTTCAAACGCGTTTTTCTCGAAACCGCTTTTTTTCAGCTCTTGCCAGCGATTGAGAAAAAACTACAAGTTCGATCGTACTGTTTAATATCTCTTCGTAATCGTTACAACTTTCTCTAGAACACGGACCTCTAAAAAGTTATAAAAATTATCCCCACTTTTTTTATGAGGGTTAATTCAGCTTGAAAACAGCATTATTTCAAAAAACCTCGTGCCAAAATCGTAAAAATTGAAAAAATCAATTTTTTAGAGGTTTGTGTTCTAGAGAAAGTTGTAACGATTAAAATGACGTATGAAACATGAGGATCGGACTAATAGTTTTCTCTCAATCGCTGGCAAGAGCTGAAACATGGATTTCAGCAAATTTCGTCTACAGCCAACAAAATGGGTCTTAAGTCCCATGAAAAAATTTTTTTTTGTAGTTTCATATGTAAGGAATAATATCCATAAGGTCCGGAATGAATAAAACTTATAGTTTTAAAAAAAAAAAATATTTAAAATGTAATTTTTTTTACAATTGGTAATGCGAATGGCCCCTTAAAGTTTGGAATTAGAAACTATAATTCATGTGGTTTTTTTTATAATTCAGCAAAAATGTCAACAATTTTTTTTATTTTAGCTGCAGCACTGAGAGGTGTAGCTATTCAAAGAGGACGAATGAATACTACAAGAACATCGTTTCCGGCCAGTGCAGCTTTGGCTTTATCACGCAACCCTTCAATCGCAGCAGCTGCTACTGCATTGCATCCATTTGCTCAGGCGTAAGTGCAACGTACTTTGTACCTATTAATTGAATGTAACTATTTCCAACACATTCGTATAAAATTTTTATTTTTTTACTTAATAATTTTATTTTTTTCTTGTTAGAATAAAAATCGAATGAACTTAGAGTAATATACACTCATGGCACATCATTGCTACAATTTACTACTATAAGACAGCAGCTGTGACTAATGATATGAATACTGCGGGCTTCATTTCGCATTTTCGTTCTATGTACTAGCATTGTCGTTGACTACACTAGCGTTAGTGAGATAACACAGGCTATGCTACTTACACAGTAGCATAATATAGAGGTTTTTTTCATTAAGGAGATCGTCATTTCTCAAACTGCTTGGATCTTTGTTCGGACTCCCAAAAATTTATTTTAGGACTATACAAGAAGAAACTCATTCCTTAATCTTCCTATATTAATTTTTCAGTCTTTCATGAAAATGCAGGTTGTCACAAAAGTATGAAAACCTCTAGAAATCTCGCACAATCAGTGTTGGAAAAAAATCAAAAACCTCATGACCGACATATTTTTTGACGGTGAATCCAATGGTGACCTTGGCTTTGACCTTAAACATAACCTCAAGGCTACAGCGACCTAGAAATCGATTATTCAAAGAGAACCACTACTTTTTATTTTAGATTTGAAAAGGGAGGAAAATTTTACGTTGACATATGTACATTGAAATCTCTCTATGGTGCACACCTTTAAAACCTGGAAAAACTGCCCGCTATTCGGAAGAATAGGAAGTGGGGAAATATGAAAAAAGAAGAACATTTTTAACCATATCTTTTTTTTCATGCCTGACGGAAAAAAAATTGTTCAAGAAAGAGTAAAATAGATTTTAAAACTATCAAGTTTATTGTAAAATGTAATAACATGACAAAAAATGTAAAATCTCCAACGATTTTGAACAGATTAGAAGACAGCGATACGCAATTTTCTCGCATGTTATTGTTAAAAATTTGAATAATTAGAGGAGAAACTGTTCGTTAATACTTGAAAACAAGTGCCCATGTCCACTATTGAGAATTTCCGCTATCAGGAATAGAAGCTACATAAAGAATTTATAGGAATATTTCATCGTTTTAAAAGTGTCCGCTATTCAAAGTGTCCACTATAGAGGAATTTTACTGTATTTTGTTTTTTTTTGTCAGCTTAAGGGCACTACAGACTTAAATGAAATCCCGAATTAACCTAACATTAAGCTCAAGTGAGGAATTGATTTATTTTCTAACTGTATCCCCCTAAAAATGGCAGTGGAAAAGAATGAAAAGGCCTATTCGACATTAAAATTTTTCCACTTTTTTCAAATCTTCAATAAAAAATTTGAATCACCAAGTAAAAAATCAATTTTTGATCGATGTAGTATTGAGATTATGTTCAAGGTTAAAGCTAAGGTCACAATAGGATTCTCTTTCAAAAAGAGATTGTGCAAAATTTCTAGAGGTTTGCAAACTTTTATGACACCCTGTATATGCATGCTCGTAGAGTCAGCTAGCAACCTCTAATGCTACACATCACGTCCGTGGGCGTAATACATCGGAATTTGGGTAAATATTAATGGGGAGGTGTTATCTCATTTACACCGCTGGCCGGCATGCATGTATTTTGAGGGTTTTATTGTTTATTGCCGTTATATCGGCACGTCTGCGCAAAGTTGAGCATCAGAGAAAGAATCTCGACCATACAATAATGGATAAACTCTGCTCGTAGTCGAGAATCCGTGATCGATTTTTTTAAAAAGCTGTTTAAAAATGGTAATAAAATATATTTATTAATTCATTTTAAAAAGATTATTGCTTTGTCAGTTTTTTTGTTCAAGTACTATCTTTTTGAGTTAAAAAATAGCGCTGATGCTCGAATTTCAAGAAAAAAACGTTCATATCAAATGTGGAATAAACTGACCCACCTAATGTATGCCCAATTCTCAGTATAGTTAAAAGGATAAATTTTTTTTGCAAATGTGAAAAACTCATCGTTTCCAATATCAGAAATGTCCCTAAATTTTATTAGAATTTTTAGGACCGTCTATATTCTCTTTGCCTGAAGTTAGTATTTTTCATCTTTGCTTAAGTCCCACGGGAGCCCGACAAAATCACCGCTGATAAAATCTCCACAGAATTTCATTTTATATTTTTCTACTTATTAGATATTTAGAATATGTAATTTTCTTGCGCTTCTCTTACTTATAAATATTCTATAGATATAACTATAAATTGTGTCATATTTGGGCGTGAATGATTTCGCGTATTTTCCTCGTAGCCTAGGTTTCAGGCCAAGAAGAAGATGAGCTGAGCAGACCGAGAACGCAACACCGAGGCTAAAAACAACGAACCGCATCTCGAGATTTTACAAGCCTAGGCCGAGCAGAAGCCTGCAGGCCGCGTAACAATAGCAGTAGAGTCACGCGCCTACTGCGCAATCTATTGCGCCGGAGAGAAAGCCACGCAGGGCAGATTACCACGAGCCGAGCAAGTGTGCACACGTGTCGAGAAAGCAAGTGCAAATTTTAGCGTGGAATTTGTTTAGAACAAAAACGAAGCGGTACGCGACTGTACAAGTCCTCGGCGTGGAAAACTCGCTGACGATAGAAAGTGAAAACGAGTGCGAGTGTTGTGCGGAAAGCACGGATTGTGCGAGTGTCAAGGCTGACATCAAGAAAGTGAGGCTAGTTTCTGCCTCGAGAAACACGGCCGATCTGAACTCGATAGCCACCTAGGACAAATAGCAATTTCTGCCTACAGTGACTGCAGCCGACGAAGGCCACGGTAGCAGAGAAGTTTGCCTAGGACATCGTCTATGAGAAGAGCTGGGGAAGAGGTTAGCTATTAAGTTATTTAGGTGGTCGGGCATTTGGCCATGTGCACGATTGGCTTATCGCTCTCGTGCGTGTATAGAGTGTGTGTGTGCGTGTGAGTGTCGTCGCAGCGGTGGCGAGCTCATTGTGTGTGTGTGTGTGTGTGTGTGTGTGTGTTTTTTTTTTTTTTTTTTTTTTTTTTTTTTTTTTTTTTTTTTTTTTTTTTTTTTTTTTTTTTTTTTTTTTTTTTTTTTTTTTTTTTTTTTTTTTTTTTTTTTTTTTTTTTTTTTTTTTTTTTTTTTTTTTTTTTTTTTTTTTTTTTTTTTTTTTTTTTTTTTTTTTTTTTTTTTTTTTTTTTTTTTTTTTTTTTTTTTTTTTTTTTTTTTTTTTTTTTTTTTTTTTTTTTTTTTTTTTTTTTTTTTTTTTTTTTTTTTTTTTTTTTTTTTTTTTTTTTTTTTTTTTTTTTTTTTTTTTTTTTTTTTTTTTTTTTTTTTTTTTTTTTTTTTTTTTTTTTTTTTTTTTTTTTTTTTTTTTTTTTTTTTTTTTTTTTTTTTTTTTTTTTTTTTTTTTTTTTTTTTTTTTTTTTTTTTTTTTTTTTTTTTTTTTTTTTTTTTTTTTTTTTTTTTTTTTTTTTTTTTTTTTTTTTTTTTTTTTTTTTTTTTTTTTTTTTTTTTTTTTTTTTTTTTTTTTTTTTTTTTTTTTTTTTTTTTTTTTTTTTTTTTTTTTTTTTTTTTTTTTTTTTTTTTTTTTTTTTTTTTTTTTTTTTTTTTTTTTTTTTTTTTTTTTTTTTTTTTTTTTTTTTTTTTTTTTTTTTTTTTTTTTTTTTTTTTTTTTTTTTTTTTTTTTTTTTTTTTTTTTTTTTTTTTTTTTTTTTTTTTTTTTTTTTTTTTTTTTTTTTTTTTTTTTTNTGTGTGTGTGTGTGTGTGTGTGTGTGTGTGTGTGTGTGTGTGTGTGTGTGTGTGTGTGAATAACACGGCACGCTGCCATGTTGCATTGCCTGGAGAACACGCAGGTGTACGGCGGCGTATACGCGGTCTCGTAAATTTAGCCACGTGGCTTCAGGTCGACGAGCAGAGCACGCGCGCGTAGACCGAGCTCGTTCGACCACGCGTACGTAGCGACGGCCATTCTGGCCAAGAAGTAGAAGAACGTCACAAACGTACCTATTGCCACGGAGCAAAGGTTCTGCCACGGAAGGCAAACGAAAAGGCCACCAGCACACCTGGTGGCCAATGTTGAAAGCTAAATAAAGTGACTATATTTTGAAACTAAATATCGCGAGTCATCATCAATTCACCATCATGTTGTAAATTGCATAGATTTCTTACTTTTCAGAGAATGAAGTAATTTCGCGGAATTGCCCGGATTTTCGCGGAGTTCGTGACTAATTGAGATTTCCTCGGCCTAAATCGAAAGGTGAGTCACTTTGGTCAACAGCTCCGCCCAAACTCGGTGAAAGGCCCAGAACCTCCTCTGAGAGGTCAGCGTAAGTTCGAGAGGTCCCGATAATAAATTTTTACCGACGGCATTTGAGCTGGGTCTTAACCGATAAGGCCGATTTGCCCGTCGCAGTGTATAAGTGTGTTGGAATGCGAGCTAGTGTGTTCGGTATGTGTATTAGTGTGTTTGGGAAACACGTGTTGTCAGATGCGTGTTAGTGTGTTTCTGATTTTTTTCTAACGGAGATTTAGTCTCTGAAGATTTTGTCGCGGAGATTATGTTGGTAACCCAATTTCCACCTATTTATAGAGTAACTTTGAGGATACACCAGTGTTAAAACCTGAAATAAATAATAAGTGTAAAATAATGCAATGTAAAATAATGTAATGTAATGTAATGTAAAATAATCATTCTAGAGATAGTCTTTTCTAGAAAGACTATCTCTAAAACATCAAAAAATCTCTCTTCGTAGATCTTTCGGAGAGATCTTCTTATCCAAAAAATTTTAAGAGGGATTTTTTTAACCGCACTTCTATGTGAGATTGTCTTCGTAAGAACGATCGAAGTATAGAAAATATCCATGTTTTTTTTGCTTCATGTTGAATGGAAACACGACTATGGACCCCTAGCATATCAATTTAACTGTGAATACCACTAAAACAAGTTTTAAGCTTCGATACATCTTTACCGCAAGATTTTGAAGTTAGTTTTTAACCAATTTTTATAATTATGGCTTAAACTACTTGTAAAAGTATTCCCCTCCACTTAAGCGTAAGAGAACCTTGAAAAATGTCATCAGAACATTTGTTCGACTATAAATGTACAAAAAGTAAAAAAATTCTGAATTACATACATATAAATGCTTATATTGCAATGTAAATTACTAATACAAATGTTCTTATGATATTTTTCAAAATTCTGTTACCCTTCAGTGAAAGAGAATACCTTTACAAAGAGTTTTAGCCGTAAATTATCAAAATTGGTTAAAAATTCACTTTAGAATCCGGTGGTGAGTCTATATCGAAGCTTAAAACTTGCTTTAGTAGTCTTCACAATTAAATTGATATGTTAGGAGTCCATAGTGGTCTTTTGCATTCAAAATAAGCAAAAAACATGGATAATTCCTATATGTATTGAAACTTGATTGATGCATTATTTTACACCTATTTATCATTTCATCTGATTTCATGTGTTCACTCAAGGGGACAAACAAGTGTTCAAACCTTAAGTGATAATTATGCAAATAAAAATGCATTTAAAAAGTTTAAACAAATTTAACATTTTTCCATGTTTCTTTGCTTCATTTTGAAAGAATAAAACCATAATGGAAGTCCAGTGAATCAATGTAACATGCAAGATCACTAAAACATCTTTTTAGCTTTGAAATCGCCTTACCGCTCGATTCCAAAGTGAGTTTATGATCAATCTTCACAGTAGATATCTTGAAATCTTTCTAAAAGTACCGACTTCCACTTGAGCGTAAGGCGCAGGATGCGGCGCAGTAAGCAACAGCTCGCGTGCTCGATTGAAATTTAAATCATACAGAGCTCATATTTCCACAATCATTAGGCTTTCTCATACTTAAAAAATTTGATGACAACTTATGATATCAATTTTATACAAATACCATAAATTTGAATAGAAATAAAAATTACATCATAACTTTTTAATTTTTCAGTATGTATTACGACCCATTTATTGCTGCGCACTCTGCCACTCAAGATCCAAGCTATCGATTGCAGGTAACAAAATTTTACTTTATTCGTCTGCTTTTATTGTAGAATTGCTTCCTCACAGAGGAAGTTACGTGATAGGCTTGAAAATGAGATTTGGAACTAGACGTCGTAAAATAATTTTGTTTACATATTTGGAAAATACATTGAATTACTAACAAATGTCTGTATGTGTGTGTTTTTTTAGAAGGGAACTCCTATTTACGGATTCAACATGCGACAAGGGTGTATGGACAAGGGTCGTATGGATATGTCGGAATCGAGTAGTATACTGTTGTGTGTGTACAGGTGTTGTGTGGACAAATAATGCACCTCTGTACTAATACCGACTAAGATCCATCCTCTTCGTCTGCCCTTGTTTTTCCCCGCGGGACCACCATTAGACATTACTTCGCGGAAAGTGCTGTAGCTCCTTGGGAGCTCATCTAAGGCTTAGCTTGGCTTCTGAATTTCGTCTTCTTCTTACTGCATCGTCCGGTCATGTTCTTCTTTTCGTTATGACTGTGCAGGCAAAGGAGTACGCTGCTTCCCAGTTTCGCTCATTTTCGAGCATGAAATCAACAAACGTCTCGGGCTCCAGTGGCCCATTTGCTAGGCTGTAAATCTCTTCTCCTTCTGCCGTGAATCGAGAGAAGTGCAAAATGACATCTTCGATGTCCTTCACTGCAAGATGTCAGGTCGGACACGAGCTGCTTGTATAATTTCTTGTCCGATATAGGTAAGACCTAAAGCAGCCGTGGCCGGACAGGAGTTGCGTGAGGTGGTAGTTGACTTCTCCATGCCTCCTGTCGATCCACGCAGCGATGCTCGGTATAAGCCGACCTTTCGTTGTGTTAGACCACTGGGTCTGCTACTTCTCCAGCGTCTTGACGCGCTCCTCACTAGTGGCGTCACTCCTGGCGACCTCGCGACTATGCTCGTAGAGCGGCGAGCGTTCGTCAGTGAGGAGGACCAGTGGTGGAGTGCCGGCAAGAACATGCACCGCCTCGTGAGAAATGCTGCGGAAGCCGCATATCGCACAAAGACAGGCGTGCCGATGGATTGCTTCTGCCTTGCGGACATAGCTGTGTGTTCCTGTAGCCTCTCTCCATATTGGGGCTCCGTACAGGAGGACCGAGTCAACAACGCGGGTATAAAGCCTGCGCCGGCTGCATCTCGGGCCCCCGATGTTGGGCATCAGGCCGGACAGGGCGCCCGCGACCCGGGTAGCCTTCTCACTGACGACTTTCAGGTGCTGATCAAATTACAGCTTGTCATCGATGTGCACGCCGAGGTATCGGATTCAGGGAACGGACGTGATATCGCAGTCACCAGCTCTGAGGGTGATGCTTTTCTTCAATTTTCTGCTTGTGACCAGCAGAACCTCGGTTTTCTGATCGGCAGTCTGCAGACCCAGTCCGCTAAGGGCCCTACGCACAAGCCGAATGGCGTCGTCTGCACCTGTCTTGATATCTTCCAATTTTTTGTCAACTATTGTAAGCGCGATGTCATCTGCAAACCCGACAATCGACACTGTTCTGGGCAGCCTAAGTTCAGGGATCTTGTTTTACATGGCGTTTCAGAGAATGGGGCCAAGCACAGACCCTTGGGAAACACCCGCTGTGACGCTGCAGGTCTCCGCGCCGTCTTTGGTGGAGTAATCCAGAACCCTATTGCTAATAAGTAGGTGGCGATGATTCGTCGGAGATAGGGTGGTACTGCCAACTTCTGTAAGGCGCTGATGATATGATTCCAGCACGTCAAGTTAGAAGCGTTTTTAACGTCTAGTGTGACGATGACGCAGTATTTCTTCGTACCTCTATGATACCTCTTTCCAATGATGGCTGCCTTAGCCGTGCTTAGAACCTTTTGTAGGCGTCAATGGTGGACCTTCCTTTACGGAAGCCAAACTGAGAATCTGCCAGTCCCCAGCAGCACCCTACGTAAAGGCTTCTAGACGATCCGCAATGATCCTTTCCAGTAGATTGCTTGCGGTGTCCAGCATGCAGAGCGGGCGGTACGACGAGGGCTCGAAGGCAGGTTTGCTTGGTTTTAGCATCAATACAAGCCTTTGACGCTTCCAGCGCGCCGGAAAACATCCTTCCCTGAGGCATACTGTAAAAAGACGGCGAAAAACGTCCATCCGAGTACCTACTGCGGCTTTTAGGGCAAGGTTTGGGATTCCGTCTGGCCCCGGAGCCGCCTGGTCACGCACTCTCCGGCACGCTCCACGAAGTTCCCCAGGGGGGCCCCTGCAGGGGCTGTTCTGTCCTTAGTCGTTGCAGTATGGAGGCGTACGTCTTAGGGTCTTTGGCCCGTATACCCACTACATCGGGACGTGGGCGTTTTGCGGGAACTGTTTTTGACTTTTGGGTGGGGGCCACTGTTTTTTTGCTTGCCCTTGCCCATTTGCCGTTTGCTCCGAACCTTTTGCCACTTGTCGACATTGTGTTTGTTGATGTCACTGGCGGTGGGGTCCCTCATCACTGTCTCAGGAGTTCCGATGACCGGCGACGTTGACGGGACATCGTTGACTCTGTTCCTCCTTCGCGTTTGCTCCTTCTGTTTTGGCTTCTTTGTAGCCAGGCCTGGGGAAGTTTGTGCGGCTTTGGTGCTCAAGTTGGGGCGCGGATGAGGCTAGGTGATTGGAGAGTATGTTTCATGAAGGGGTGAAAGTTAGTATGTTGGTGAGTGAGAGTGGAATGAGGGTGAGGTCTTCAGTGGTACTGCGGGTTTTCCAGTCGTTCTTGTCGAGTGAGAAAAGATGATTGAAGATGAGTTTTTTATATGTTGAGGCGGGATTGGCCAGGGTGATTTCGAACTGAACAGTGAAAAGAATGCGTGATGCGGTGTGGGTGAACGATTTAGTGAGCTTTTTCTGGTGCGCTTGGCGTTGAAGTATACTAGCGGCCTAGTGCGACGAGGCGATGTGCGGATCTCAGGGTGGTCGGCAAGCAGCTTGAACGGTGCACGAAACTGCGACGGTAATCCCCCACGCAGAATCTCCAAAGCGAGCAGGGCGATCCTCATCTCCCTCCGGCGACGCACTGACAGCCAACCCAGTGGCAGGCAGTGCTCAGCTCTCTGGAGAATTTCCGGTGGACGTCGTTACACTGGAACGCACACGCCCAACCCGGTTGACCGAAACTGGCTAGGAATCGGCCGCCTGTCTTGCCGACAGCGGGAGCCAAAGGTGGTTTGGGTCACGTCAGCACGCAGCATCGGTATCGCCTTGCCACCCATGATCTCCTTTTGCCAGCTCACGGATCGCACCGCATAACATCCGAGTCAGATATGCCTTGGTTTTTTAACGAGGTTGTTACTCCTCCCCCTCCTCCTTCTCTGTCTCTTGAGACCGAGCTCCGGGCTTGAGACTGGCGTAGCGGAGTAGGTGTTTGTGTGTTTTATTTTCTGCTCCACCCCATTCGGACACTCACCGGTAACCGCCGTTAGGCATTGCTTCGGTGAGGCCGGGGTTAGTAAAGCATTTCTGCTACTTTGACATTAGACGTTTCCATACATCCCTCATCCGTCGCATAATGATATGCGACGATTAGGGGTTCAGGGACTCATCCTTCTCTATTTGATGAACCCCCGATCCTGCGTGATGTCATCTCTCGATTGTCGTATCCTACTTCCGGAGCCGTAGTTTTCCACTGCGTCAACATTGCTGTCGTCTCCTCCTGAGTTAAGTATTAGAACTCGCTGCCCAATGCCATCTTGTGAGTGTGGTTCTCGCTTCAAGCTCCATCATGCGTTATACCAACGGGCCTTGCGTCCATGCGTCTACGAACGAGGCCCCCGCATCTGGCGTCATCTTGTGACTTCATCATGGGAGTGTTGTGCTCCCCGTCTATCGCCAGCCTTGTGAGTCTTTGCCTTGGGCTCCTACTTATGGTTATCCCTTTTGTTTCCAGTTCACACAGTGATCGGGGTTTTTTACCTCTTCAGAGGCTGATGACGTAGCCTGGGTCTTCTTTTTGAGTGGTACCCGCTCCACTTTGAGCACGGGCTCGACCACACCAGGCGAAAAAACGCAATCGAAAATTTGCCCATTGGGGATCGAACCCACGCCCTACGGCATACTTTGTATTAGCAGGCAAGAACTATGGCCGGTAAAAAGGCCGGTGTGTGTGTGTGTGTGTGTGTGTTTTTTTTGGAGGTATGAATATATTTTATTTAGTAGAAGGAGAAAAAATGGTAGTTTACATTAAGTTGCAATGTAGCATATTGATTACAGCTGTATATAATTTATGTAGATACATTCACATCAATTTCCCTGTGTCCCATCCTCGCGGAAACCGCCGTTAGGTATTACTCCATGGGGGTGGAGGGATTGACATTATGCGCTTCATGAAGGCTTGGATGGGGTGGCGCCTTTTTCCATCCGCATCGTCCGGTCATCTCCTTCTGTCCATTTCTTCGTCTCTCAGTCTTATAACGACTGAGTGGGCGAAGGGAGCAACCGCGAGCCAGTTTGGCTCGCTCGCGAGCATGAGCCTGTTGGTCTTTTTCTGCGTCATGACCTCGTGGAGCAGAGTCTGTAGTCTCTCTCTTTCCTCGCTGAACCTCGGGCAGTGATAGAATACGTGCTCTGCGTTCTCGATAGATGAGGGGCAAACCGGGCATTGTGCACTTTGATTATGATCGTAGCGTCGACTATGGTGTTTAAAGAAGCCATGCCCGGTCAAGAGTTGCGTGAAGTGGTAGTTCAACTATACGTGCCTCCTCTCCATCCTCACTCGGATATTTAGGATCAGTCGGTGCATCCATCGGGCCTTCGTTGACCGGTCCCATGCTTCCTGCTACTTGCTTAGCGTTGCCAAGCGTTTCTCACCCCTTGCGTCTACTCGGCGGCGGCCGTCGAGCCGCGCTCACCCGTCCGCGAGAAAGGCCAGCTGTGGTATGCCGGCAAGAACATATGTGGCCTCGTAAGAGACGTGCGGCCGGCCACCGATCAGACCGGCTGCCTTCGCGCTGATTTTTCGGAGGTGGTGGTCGAACTTCAGCTTGGTGTCGATGTGCAGGCC